AGAGCCCCCTGCCATGTCTGGGAGCTGCTTCCCACAGAAGCCCGGCCCCACGGTGCGTGCTTGCTGGCAGGAGGGGAGCACTTTACCCCTCTGCCCCCCCTCCGAAAACCCTGCTCTGCCACTGGGCGCGTGCCTGCAGGACCACAGGCTCGGGCACCACCCCGCAACACAGCGGGCATGGTGGGACGGCTGGTGGTCCCCGGGCTGCTGTCACGTAGAATAAAGCAGGTGCCCTTTCACCGATGAGTGCGGTCAGGCTCAGATGCGGCCCCTGCCCCCAAACCTCTGCCAAGTGAAACAGATGCCTTCCTGCAGGGAGGACAGACACACACCTGCTGTTCAACTGCAACTTTAATAACCCCAGCCAGAGCCAGCAGTGACTTCTGCCTGCCAGGAACTCACCAGCCACAGCACTGATACAGATTTGGGTGCTGGCTCCCTTTTGGGGACCCGGTGAAACCATCCCCCTATTCCCCCACCTGCTCCACACAGAGCAGCAACACCACACCCGAGAGGGGGAAATGGGGCCTAAGGACAGCAGCCCTTCAGCCAGGGGCTGGGGCAAGTGGTGGGCTGAAAAACCACAGAGAGAGGTGGGAGAAATGCCTCAGCTGTGCCATGGGGCTCTCCAGGCAGCAGCACCCAGCCCTGTGCAGAGGGCTGGTACCTCTACAGACCTGGAGGGAGAAACCCTCTTCCCCACACCTCACCAGGGGCTCAGAGCAGGAGTCACCTCCCACAGTGCTGAGACTCCCCTGAAGCCAAGGGCTGGGGATCAGCTGGGCACATAGGATGGATGTGGCCCCCTGCTATGGGGAAGCACCATCCACAGGAGCTGAAAGACCCTCAGACCATCGCTGGTCTGGCAGCCATTATGCAGCAGGGCTGCCTGCACGCAGAGCCCGCAACACAGTGGACCTAACCACTGCAGGAGCACTTACAGGCACAAGAAATGGGTGTGCTCTTTGGTGCAGGGAAGATGGGGGAAGCAGCTTGAGAAGGTGATGCACCACATGAGTGAGGCGTTCAGGACCCACCCTCGAGGCTGGGGACACCCGATTGTGCAGGAACCCCGCGGCACAAAGCCTGGCCGGGCTGGAGCAGGGCACCGCTTCCCCCCTGAGAACAGGGACAGGGCACTCTCCCCCTCAGCTTGCATGGGCCCACCAGTAACGACTCCCTGCAACCAGTAAGGCAGGGAATAGAGCACCGCTGTGCTTCTAACGCCAGCCCCAACAGAAGCGCTAAACACCCCTGAGGAACGACTGAAAACTGCCCTGGCGCACACAGGGCAGGAAGGCAGCAGCTACGTGACCCCGTAGTACAAGTGAACAGCGAGGCCAATGCACGAGACGGCAACGAAGAAGAGGAGGGTGAGCTGCAGGTTGAAGAGTGTGACGGACAGGAGGGCGTTGACCAGGATAGAGCAGGAGATCACGAAGAGTCTGGTGATGTTAGTGCTGTGCTTCATGACCACTGACATGATCAAGCCATTCACGGCCTGGCTGACCACAATCACTAGCACCCAGGAGGAGAAGCCCTCCAAGAAACTGCCCTCTGCGCTGTTCCAGAAGTAGCCGATCAAGTTGAGCAGGACCCCAAAGAAGTAAAGGAAGAGGTTCTGAAGGCTGAGAGGCAGCGCCTGGGTTTTCAGGATGGCTTCCGTGTAGACAGCAGACAAACCCGATATCAAGCAGTACACTGAGATCAGCAACAAGCCCACCAGTGTGATGTGCAGCTGCATCATGGAGGGGCTGCCAGGGTCCTGCAGGCCACCACAGCTGTAGCTCACCCCAGCAGCCACCAGCAGGAAGAGAGCCAGCCATTTGCGCACGCTGAGTCTTTGGCGCAGGAAGAGGCTGTAGAGGAGCGCGGTGCTGACGATCTTTAAGTTACTCAAGACCTGGTAGGTGCTGGGATCCATGAAGAGCTGCATGTGAACCACCAGGTTGTTGTTGGCAGCATAGAGCAGGGCAGAGAGGGCGAAGGGGGCAACGTGGCGCCACGACACGTCCTATCAGCTCCCGTTCCCAGGTCCGCAGGAACAGGAGGGAGAACACCAGTTTTGTCAGCTCAACAAGAACCACGACGGACGCAGAGCTGAAGGGAATTGTCCCGTCCACCTTGCACAGGGTCAGGAGGGGAGCGTGAGAGCCGTATATGGCTACAGACAAGACTAGCATCAGTCCCCACAGCCCCCTCCGGATCACCTGGTTTGCAGAGCCAGCAGCATTACCAAATATCACCATTTTCAGGCAGTAGCCAGCAAGGGCGAGCTGCTATCAGTGCAGATAGGCCAGACAGACTCGCACCCTAGAACATTCAAGAAGAGACCAAATACCATTAATTTAATGAGCCTGATTAAAACAGGATGTTACCTGCTACATTTCTGATGCAGTGGAAGAGAAGGGTTTTGTCTCGTTAGGAAAAGAACTACAAGCCTCCCCAGGAAGCCACACAAAGCACATTCCTAGGGCAAAGCGTGCGCTTGGTGGAAGGGCGTACGGGTGGTGAGCGTAATGACATGTCACAAGCAGCCTTTCAGTCCACAGTGGCATGGGGAGAGAGGTGAGGGGAAAAGGGAGCTGGCAAACCGTTGGCTGCTGATGCTTCCAAGCTACTGTGGGTTAGTGGAGTGATTGCTGCTGCCACCGAGCTCTAGTAAATACCCCATAACCAGACCCACTGATGCCTTGCAATGATGCAGCATAAAGCCCTTTTCCAGTGGAAAACAATGGTGATGGTGACATGCCTCTGAAAGCCCTAGGAATCTTCTGTGCCTGCTAACTAAGGAGTACCGTTCCTACAGTCACCGCTGCCAAAGGACTCCTTGCTAGTCCCGACCTTTTTTCAGTGAACTCAAATAGTCCCGGATTGTCTTTTCGACATTGGGGACAGCATAGTTCTGAGCAGCGTATATCCCTGTGCAGGTGCCAGCCACGAATCCCAGGACGGCCGAGAAGCGAAGTTTGGCTACCAGGTAGCCCGCCAGGAAGCCTTTGAGAAAGGGCGAGGCCAGCAGAGAGCCATCCTGTGGAGAAGAACCAAGAGTGAGGCCACCAGGCAGGGTGGGCTTGTGTGGGGAACGCAGGGCTGGCACATTCCCCCGGGAATTTTTTTAACAAACCCCCCTCAGGATGGGGGTCCGCTCCACACCGAGGCACGCAGGCCACGGCACAAGCCGGGGAAGCGCGTTACCTGCCCCACGCCGGCGTGCACCTCGTCCTCCACCCGGCGCTGCAAGCTCTCCAGCTGGTCCTTCAGGAAGGCGAGGTCCTTCAGCTTGGGCAACGAGTCCTGGGGGAGAGGCGTAGGCTCATGCCCGGCCCCGCGGGCAGCGCCAAGGGACGGGGAACCCGCCCGGCCCGGCCCAGCCCTGCTCGCCGCGCCGCCTCACTCACCTTATCGTCCGCCATCTTAGCGCAGGCACCGCCCACCGCGCAGGCGCCGCTCGCCGCTGATTGGGCCGCGGCCGTACACGTGACGCCTCACGTGGCCACCCCCCCTCCCTTCCCCGCTGGCGGCCCGCCCCCC